CACTAGCTGAGCGCGAAAACGCGGTTTGCTGCGGAGCTGTTTGAATCGATGCAAGGTTTTAACGCTGATGTGCTCTTACCTGCATTAGTTCAAACAGAGTCTTTATCCTCTACTGTATTCCCCGGGATTGCTTATAGCTTCATCAGAAGAGGTGCAGTTGAGACACAACCCAGTACCCACTGAGACTGAGCCGATTTTAAAACAGTACCACCCCCCCAACATAAACATAATACATTTAAGAATATAAAATATTAGCAAGTTTAAATTTTGGTATGTCTAATAAAATAACATTAATATGTTGGAGGCATGTGGGGAATAGGTAAGTATAATCATAGTTGGTGACTTTACCATCCTTTTGTCATAATAGAACACAAGGGTAAATATAATGAAGAGTTGAATATTGTGGCTAACCATCTTGAACCAGTGTGCATATTAAATACATAGAATCTGTGCCTAATAACTAGGATGTGTATTCTTTTCAATCACATGGTCAAAAATATACTGCGCTTTAAATAGGATTGTCACATCATTTATTGATTAAACCTTTGAGAATGAATGAAGTTTAAGAATATGGAAAAGTAATCTATAATGATATCAAGTGGTTGGTTATGAGCTAGAGACTGGGAAAGGGCCTGAGGGAACTTTCTAGGATGATGGGTTTAATTTCTTGCTTTAGGCAAAATTGCATGGGTGTATTCAGTTATCAAAACTTGGGTGGTCATTTGACAAGCAGCTAAGTCACCACTTGATTAGATGGCCACATCCCATATCCGAGTGCTTGATATGAGTCCTGGCTACCCCACTTCGGATTTAGCTTTCCTCCTAAGGCACAGCCTGCTATATTCTGTTTACTATACCACAATTTTAAAATACGATATTTGACAGCTTCTTTCTTCCTGAAATTCAAGAGTAATTCAGTGCTTTTATTATTTTAACTTTTCTCCCATAATTTCAAGTATAATAAAGATATCACAAAAAGAGATGTTTATATTAATATTAACCTTATTTATAAATGCATACACAAAATCATCAGAATAGCGGAAGATGAAAAATGTGGAAAATAAGGAAACTAATAAAAAGACACATGGAAGTCAGTTTGGAGATTCCTCAGAAACCTGAATATAACCCTACCAATCAACCCAGCCATCCCACTCCTTGGAATTTACCCAAAGGAAATGAAATTGGCAAACAAACAAGCTGTCTGCACATTAATGTTTATTGCAGCTCAATTCACAATAGCTACGACCTGGAACCAACCCAAATGCCCATCAACAGTAGACTGGATAAAGAAATTATGGGACATGTACTCTATAGAATACTATACAGCAGTCAAAAACAACGAAACCTGGTCATTTACAACAAGATGGAGGAATTTGGAAAACATCATGCTGAGTGAATTAAGCCAGTCCCAAAGGGACAAATATCATATGTTCTCCCTGATCAACGACAACTAACTGAGCACCAAAGGGGAAACTTGTTGAAGTGAAATGGACACTGTGAGAAACAGTGACTTGATCAGCTCTTGTCCTGATGGTTGATGTACAATGTAATACTTTATCCATTTTAGTATTTTTTTTTGTTCTAGTACCGTTGGTTGAACTCTGTAATTAACACTCAATTATTCTTACGTGTTTAAATTTTAACTGAAAAGCGATCCCTGTTAGGAATTTGGAAAACATTATGCTGAGTGAAATAAGCCAATCCCAAAGGGACAAATACCACTTGTTCTCCTTGATAGGTGACAACTAACTGAGCACCAAAAAGGAAACCTGTTAAAGTGAAATGAACACTATGAGAAACAGTGACTTGATCAGCCCTCACCCTGACTGTTGATGAGCAACTTGATATGTTATCCCTCTTAGTAGTTTTTTTGTTTGTTCTACTTAATACTTTTGGTTGAATACTGTAATCAATACACAGTTCTTCTTAAGTGCCGAAACTTAACTGAAAACTGATCACTGTTAAATATAAGAGTGGAATAAGAGAGGGAGAGATGTACAATTCTGGACATGCTCAAGCTGACTT